CAAAAAACGACATCTGGTTAAGAACCTGTTTATGTCATCAAGGTCGTCTCTGGAAGGAAGGCTTCTGTTGTGGTGTCAAGAACGAATCGAGGAGTGAGTGGAAAGTTTGAGGAGTTCAGTTTGCAAATCTGTTTACCGCAAATGATGATACATTGATTACTGCGTGAAACGAAGAATTGCATTATTTTGCTTCATACACGGAGACCGATTGTGGTGCGGATGTTTGTTGAACTTCTCTACCTCATACCTTTCGAATACCAAGCTGCGTCACGTTGCATGGCCATTGTTTCATTGGACTCGGATGAGCTTTCTGGACTTTGGCTTCTCGTCGCATTCGCTTTCGACTTGCCAGCAGCCATGCTGGACGAAGACACGTCCTTGCCTTGGTGGCTGGTGACGTTCCTGAATGATTTATGCTGAACGATGTCAACGACCACTTCGGTAGTCTTGACATCGTTGCCTGATGTTTCTCTGACCGTTGCATTGGCAACTAAAATCAAATTTACGTCTAAAGTTACCCCTGTTATGTTACACTACATGGTCCAAACGTTTTATCTCATAAAAAGATGCCTGAGGAGAGTGTATGGTGCCAGAATCTCTTTCGAACATGCGCTGATCTCGGGTGACAACAAACTTGGATAGATTAAGGAATTGTGAAATCAATCGATCATCAGAGAGGTGCATATAGTTGTAGTTTGGAGTCAATGATCAAAACGATTGAACGCCATTAATTCGTGAAAGATGCAGTGAAGCTGAAATCGTGTAAAATGATAACCACAGATTTCTTACGTACAGAGCAAGCAGCCGGCCAATCGCATGATTGCAACCACTACGACGATTCGGTCTGTACCTTACGGATTTTCTTTACAGTAAGTTTCGCTTTTGTTGGAAACACCCGTAGTGCTCAATCCTTAGATAGTGCAATCCTTCGCTATATGGAAAATGAGCTCATAATATTTTTGATTATGCCTACAACCGCAAAATAAAAGTTTATTTGTTGAACAAATGCATCTTTAGCATATTTGAGAATAACCTTTTTGCTAATTATAATAGATAACATTTCAAGTAATCTAAGAATGATATAGGTGTTTTTTTCCAAAATATAAGCCAGAGAGATTCTTTGCGTGTTTCTACGACTGAAGATAATTATTGAAGGCGTTTGGATATGATTTCGGAGTAATGCAAGTGCCGTTTAACGACTGTTGAGCGTTTGCAGTAAATGAGTGCTTTTTGACATGTGAACTAGGCCAATGAACCTAAGCAAACGATGCAGGTAGGACAGTAGCATTAAGATGCAAGCATGGCACAGCAAGACACGTCACATACAGTGGAACGAGCTGGCAGGACAGCCAGAAGAAATGGTCAGAAATTCCATAACTCAGGTCTGTCGTTTGATTAATTGAACAACATATAGGAATAAGGAATTATATTAAGGAAATGGGTTCCTGCTTGAAACGAATTGTGAAGCCATGCTTGAGCTGAAAACCTAAATTGAGCTAGTCTTCCCTACCACTTCTAATATAGAAATTTTCTTAAAATTTCAATAGTTCATCTGCCTCAAGTTGAGCCGAGCACTTAAGATATAAAACGTTGTGACAAGATTCGACATTTGAATTTGATTGGTCAGATCAGGTACTTTTGGCCAATTAAAAGTTTATAAGCCGATAAATCGCCTAAACAGTCGTTTGATGGCGAAATCCGGTCTTGGAAAAATCCCGTTTTGCACAACAATGCGACTCCGGCAAAAAATCTGCATTTTAACTCTTTCCAAAGGTACACGAAATTATTTCCAGTTAAAAT